CATCAAGGCTTTTGGAGATACTTTTGTAACCCTTTCCAGCTTCATGCAAGTCAACAATTCTTGATCGAAGGTCTTCTGAGAGCTCTTTTCTGCGAGGCATGGTTCACATCAGACAGTGCTTCTTGAAACCAGTAAACCCACGACAGGTGTGTGCTTTTTAAGGGGAGGACAGCTGTCAGCAACACATCCAATATCATCACACTGATTGGAGTCACGGTTGGCTCACTCCTGGCTCCAATTAGCTCTGGGAGAAGTCATTAAGCTAGGGTCTCACATACTTTTTCCTCCCTGCACTGTGAATGTTTACATGTTATGTGCAATTAAACCATGGCAACATCTAATGTTTGTGTAGTATTATGTTCAGCAGACTGTGTTTTCTATTGTTGTGACTTAGATGACATTCAGAGCACATTTTATGCCCAATTCATGCAAAACTACACGTAATCAAGGGGTTCACATACTTTTTCTTGCAACTGTATGTCAGGTATTTTGTTGGGACTTCCTATAAATACCATCATCAACTATTTGCACCATACCAGCGCTATCTATGTCTTGCTAATCAATTGCCAATTGTTACAGTGACCAGCAGAATGTAGTCACTCTCTGCTTCTCCATACCATTGATACAGCACCAACAATGGTGCATACTCTACCTCTGTATGAAGTTATCTTCAAGATGGGAGAGTTAGGCAGTACTGAGTGACTTTCACCCCTAATTGGGGAGCTACCTTGCATCATTCCATCAATTGATTATTTTTTTTTATAGGAAACATCACTCATTGATATGAATTATTTGAGAATCTATTTACCTACATTTCTATCTAGTTCTATTACTCTGTATGGATATTGCTGTACCTGTTGTTTCAATATCCTGCTTCATCTTGTCCACCTATTTTCTCCCTCTTTGACCTCATTCCTGCTTTTCTCATCTTTATACTCTTTAAACTCATTATTCTACATCATGTAGATTGAATTTTTCTGTGCGTGTACGTGTGCATGTCAGTGGAGCCGGGATCCCGGAATGTGGGTTGCCTTCTTGCATGACAACAAGTCATTTTATTCAGTTTGTCTATGTGAGGTGAGGTTGTCTGTTTTAGATTTTTGATTTGTGTTATTTTGACTTTGTTAATAAATGAATTTTTTTCTAGCCGCTGTCATCATTAGGACCTCTATGCCAGTGGATTTCTTTTCCCGTTTTTTTCCTCTTTTTATGGACTGTGGAAATGCCGCTGGGGAGATGAGCCAACTCGGCCAGACTGTGGATCTGCCACTGGGGAGGGAAGACGACCACCTCCTCTCATGGACTGTGGAAATGCTGCTGGGAAGATGAGCCAGCTGCTCCATCTCCTGGACTCCCGGACTGGCTGCTGTAGAATGAGAATGACTTACTTCGCTCCTAAATCCCTGAACTGATGTTGGGGAGGGAGGACAACCACCTCCTCTCCCTGGACCCCTGGAACTGCTCAAGTTGTGGGTCAGGGGTCTTGGACCCTCTGTCCTATTACCAGCACTTCTGCTGGGACTGTGTATGGGCAGAGACTGGCGGTATTCTGCCCCGTTGCCAGTGCTTCAGCTGGTTTTAGGAGTTCCACTGTATTGGCCTGCTGCTGGGGAAATGGGCCGCCCGCCTTGGCTCCCTGGAGCTCCAAAAGTGTTGTTGGTGCTGGGCAACGGTCAGTGGTGCTTTACCCTGATGACAGCTCTTCCGTTGGGAAGTAAAATACAAATTTGGTGGCCTCACACAAATTCAGGGCCACCTACTGCTGTAGGCAGAGGTCAGCCGCACTCCACTGTTGAGCTTCATTGAACAGTCTCTTTTATATGCTTGTTCCAGCTCTCATTCTTGTGTAACTATAAAGTCCAAGTCACTTCTCAATCTGAGCTCATTGGGAAGTTCCAACTCTCTAAAATCTCGATTGTCCACCCATCTCAACTTCGCTGCACTACCAAAATGTAGATCAAATATCAATCCAGGGCCACCATAATCATAGCCTTCTATGGGATTGCTGTTCTTCAGCCACGGATACACTTGAGTAGTATACCATTGCAGTGTTCGATAACCATGGTCCACCACCATTTCTGTCTGGACCAGACTGTCCAGCTTTGCAGCTATTCTTCCTGAGGATGCTTCCTAAAATGGTATACACAGGTTCAACTGCAGCCTGTTCATATCCATGGATGTAGGGAGAACCTTTCTATAATAGTCTTGCTCCACTTGGAGCTCCAGAGCTCCCAGTGGATCGCGTCTCTTAATTCCAGCACGTCCTGGGCAGAACAAGGCTTTGTGGACTAGGCTAGCATTCTCTTGCATTCACCATTGAAACTCTGCATCCATTGCTGTGGGGAATAGCACCACTCTGCAGTTGTCTACCGAAGATGTGTCCTGGTGGTAGTTTGGAACTGCTAAATAGGGAGGAAGCAAATCCCCCTGCTGCCACCAAATGTGATGGATCGCCTGGCAACTCCCATGTCCTGGTTGGGTCTGTCACAGAGAAGAAAAAAAGACTTTCATGTCTCAACTCTATTACTTAGTGGTTTACCAGAAAATTATGAACTGCTTGTCACAGCACTTGATGCACTCCCAGATGATCAACTGACATTGGAATATGTTAAGGGAAAGCTTACGGATGAATATAAAGCGTAAAGCAGAAATCATTAATTATAATGGTGCTTCTATCACAAAGTGTGCTTTAAAGACAAAAATAGGAATAAAAACAATAACACGCAACAAGAAAAACATGAATGCTTTGTGTGCAAGAAACAAGGCCATTTAAATGCAGATTGCAGAATCTGGAAAGCTAGATATGCTGTCATATTACATTTCCTCCACAAAATCTCAAAGCTAGAGTCCAGCTCTGATCCGCCTTGTGTCCCCCAGGGTCCCAGCCAAGCTCTATAATCTAGTAATCAGCTTCCAGTCAACAACCCCTCTTCCACTCTCATTGGTTGGAGAGAAGCCATGTGTGCCTGCGTTTTCGGAATAGAGTGGAGGGCTGAGAGCAGCCTGGAAAAGCATGGCAGTGTGCTGAGAACAGCAGGGACACAGTGAGCTGTCTGTCAGGCAGCAGAGTGCCGCTCAGGACCAAGAGCAGCCTGGGACTGAGAAACATGGCAGTGTCCTGAGGCAGGGGGGAGAGTGCCATCTCAGAGCCGGGACAGCTGTAACTGAACTGAGGTAAAATACTGCTCTCTTCACTCACCTAACGAGGATTCTCTGGAGGGGGCGGGGTCATGACATTATTGGGGAGGGGGCCAGGTCATGTCAGTATTGGGGAGGGGACCATGTCATGTCACTACTGGGGAGTGGGGGCCAGGTCATCTCATTACTAGGATGGTGTTGAGGTCATATCATAACATATCATAACACCCCTTTGTGTGGGCTATGTGCGGGCGCAGGGACATATAATGGGGAAGGGAGGGGGGAAGCGAGGGAGTGAGAGGGGGGGACCGTGACAGGGTCCATTGTTCCTGGGGGAGTTTATTGTTGTGTGGAGGGATCTATTGTTGCTGGTGTGGGTCCATTGTTACTGGGGGAGTCTATTGTGTGGGGGATCTATTGTTGTTAGATTGGGGTCTATTGTTGCAAGGGGGATTTGTTGTTGCTGGGCTGGGGTCTATTGTTGGAGGGACCTATTGTTGCTGGGGTGGGTCCATTGTTATTGGGGGAGTCTATTGTTGTGTGGGGTATCTATTGTTGCTGGGGTGGGGTCTATTGTTGCTAGGGGGATCTATTGATGCTGGAGTGGGGTTTATTATTGGGGGGATATATTGTTGCTGGGGTCTATTGTTACTGGGGGAGTCTGTTGTTGTGTGGAGGGATCTATTATTGCTGGGTTGGGGTCTATTGTTGCAAGGGGGATTTGTTGTTGCTGGGCTGTGGTCTATTGTTGCAGGGACCTATTGTTGCTGGGGTGGGTCCATTGTTACTGGGGGAGTCTATTGTTGTGTGGGGTATCTATTGTTCCTGGGGTGGGGTCTATTGTTGCTAGGGGGATCTATTGATGCTGGAGTGGGGTTTATTATTGGGGGATCTATTGTTGCTGGGGTCTTTGTTACTGGTGGTATCTATTGTTGTGTGGAGGGATCTATTGTTGCTGGAGTAGGGTCTTTATTGGGGGGACCTATTGTTTCTGGTTGAGTCTATTGTTGTGTGGGGGAATCTATTGTTGCTGGCATGGGGTCTATTATTGGGGGGCCTATTGTTGCTGGCTTGGGGTCTATTGTTGGGGGGACCTATTGTTGGAGTGGGGTCTGTTGTTAGGGGACCTATTATTGCTGGGATGGGGCCCATTGTTCCTGGGGGAGTCTGTTGTTGTAGGGTGGATCTATTGTTGCTGGGGTGGGGTCTATTGTTGCTGGCTGCATGGGATCTATGTTACTGCTTTTCTTATCGTTAACAAATTCCATGAAAATTATTTAGCACCACAAAATGATACTTGGCTCTAAAAGGGGCGGGGCTGGGAGGCGGAACCAAGGGACGATGCTCAGGGGAGGGTCTGGGGCGGAGACAAGGGGGACTGACAATAGGGGGAGTTCCTGCACCCATTCTCTGAGATAAAAGCCTTGCCTGAAACACAAACTAACACTGTAGGCATTTCAGAGGCATTTAACCCTCAATGTGGAATTATCTCTGGGCAAAACATTATTTTTTACTGAGTGTTGGATAGATTGGGGAATGGTTTGTGGAGTTGTGGGAAAGGTTTGTGGAAATGTGGGAAAGGTTTGTGGAGTCGTGGGAAAGGTTTGTGGAATTGTGGGAAAGGTTTGTGGAGTTGTGGGAAAGGTTTGTGGAGTAGTTTTCGCTGCCTGTGTTCCCATTATTCACAATCACCTCTTTTTTTTTTTCACCCACAAGAAGTGAGTTGAGAAAGTTTTCCTTGGACAGGTTTCCTTAAAAGAGCAGATCGCAATACATAAAACCGTCAGCAGAGGGAGCCAGCTCATTGTTTTTATCAGGGCGGAAGTGATGTAAAGTGAGGGCGGAAGCCTGGCACGGTGAGGGCAGAAACTAAGGAAGAAGAAGGAGGTTTAGTGTGGGACAGCTGTCAGGAGCAGTGCAGCATCGTGGGAATGATGACGGTGAACATTGTGGTGGAATATTGGTAAGAAGAGGCTGAGTTTCCTGTGGCAGGCTGGGTGCACGAAGTCATCATCATGCTTTATCTAGGAGTCTGATGGCACTGATCCCTTCTGATCAGCTGTGTGTCCATGGTGGGAGGATCTGCTACTGATCTCACACATGCTATGGGTCATTCCTGTCAAATAAAAAAACCCAATGGTGATCAAATACCACCAAAAGAAAGCTGTACTTGTGTGCAAAAAATGATATAAATGTCATTTGGGTACAGTGTTGCATGACCGTATAATTACCAGGTAAAGTACTGCAGTGCTGTATAGAAAAAAAATGGCTTGGTAAAGGGGGGGGTCAATTCTTCTGGGGCTGAAGTGGTTAATAGCTGTCTGTAGGGGTGGCCTATTATACAGGATTTATATACAGTTTGCTCAGTGCTTTACAATATAATTGGAGACAATACAGTTCAATACAAGAGGGTTAGGAGGGCCTGATCCTGGGAGCTTACAATCTAGGAGGGAGGGGCTAGTGGTACAAAAGGTAGTAACTGTGGGGGATGGACTGGTTGGAAGAGTAGAAGATTCCATTATTAGCTGAGGGCAGGATAGGCTTCCCTGAAGAGATAGGTTTTCAGAGATCGCCTAAAAGTGGGCAGAGTAGGAGGTAGTCTGATAAATTGGGGTAGAGAGTTCCAGAGGATGGGGGAAGCTCTGGAGAAGTCCTGGAGATGAGCATGGGAGGAGGAGACTAGAGAGCAGGAGGTCGTGGGAGGAGCGGAGAGTACAGTTTGGGTGATATTTGGAGACAAGAATGGTGATGTAATTTGGGGCAGAGTTATAAATGGCTTTATATGTTATTGTTAATGTTTTGAATTGTAAGGGGCATTTTTGCCATTGACCTCCAACCAATTATTTTAGTAATGGTTCCCCCAGACCTGAAAATTATTTTGGGGTTCCTCTGGGGAACAACTCTTGAGTCTGCTGACATCACATCTATGATGGTGGTACCCAGCAGCATCTCAGGGCTTTCGAATGTCTACACAAGAAAGACTTTTACACAGTTACATAGTTAGTCTGGCTGAAAAAAGACAAAAATCCATCCAGTTCAACCATTTACACAAGAAAGACTTTTAGGGCTGGTTCACACCAGACCCCATTCCTGTGCGATACCTGTTCATTCTCCTGCAGTGCGATTTTTTTTTTTTTTTTTTTTTTTTTTTTTTTTTTTTTTTTTTTTTTTTTTTTTTTTTTTTCAGCCTAGCTGCAAAGCACACCAAAATGCACAAAAAGTAGTGAATGCACGTCACACCAAATTGCATGGTAGTGGGGTATTATGCGATCTGATGTCTGCAAATGCACTGTGTTTGAGATCTGTGTTTGGGGTGCCATTAACAGTGTTTTGGCACCCACAGCATATTTAACTGCTTCCCGACTGCCCTATAGCAGAAATACTGCTACAGGGCGGCACGAGTGTGCGCAAAATCACATATATATACGTGATTTTGTATTTCTGAGTAGGGCCGTGGCTGTCATTGTGATTACTCGCTGGCAGCCAGTGATTTCCGAGGATCTCCAATGGGGAGGAAAACTTTTGTTTACTAACAGTTCTCCTCCCTGTCAGCTCAGGCACACTGCTGTGGATGGCTGTGCACATCCAAAGCAGTGTGATTACAGTGAAGCACACAGACACGCTCCTTAGTAATACACTCCCTGCACACAGTTAACCCTTTGATCAGCCCTCATGTTAACCCCTTCCTGCCCAGTGCCATTAGTACAGTGTCATTGCTTTTTTTTAGCACTGATCACTGTATTGGTGCCGCTGGGAATGTCAGTGAGAGCAAGTCAGTTCCCCCCAGTGTCAGAATGTCCCCGCAGTTCTGCTATAAGTCGCTGATCGCCGCCATTACTAGTAAAAATTTTAAAAAAAATCCCAGTATATATACCGCCATTTGTAAACGCTATAACTTTCATATAAACCAATTAATTTACACGTATTGGGATTTTTCTTAGCAAAGACATGTCGCAGAATACATTTTGGCCTAAATTTATGATGAAATTTGATTTTTTTAAATTTTTTTTACTGGACATGTTTAATAGCAAAAATATAGTTTTTTTTTTCTCAAAATTGTGGGTCATTTTTTTTTTATAGTGCAAAAAAATAAAAAGCACACAGGTGATCAAATACCACCGATTGAAAGCTCAATTTGTGGGAAAAAAGGACGTAAATTTCATTTGGGTGCAGCGTTGCATGACTGCGCAATTGTGAATTAAAGTAACACAGCACCGTAACACAAAAAATGGCCTGGTCAGGAAGGGGGGTAAATTCTCTGGAGTGCAAGTGGTTAAAAAGGCAGCTCGTTTTGAACGCAGTGCGGGAAATGCGTATGGAGCATGCCTTTCCCACTCCACGTTCTGGTGCACATAAAATCTTATGGGAAGGTTGTTGTTAAAGTGCTGTTAGACTTTAGTCAGAAAATGAAGTCCTGATAGATCACGTCAGGATGGCCCCTTTTGCAGGTATAACTATGTAAAACATTTATATAAAGTGCTTATACTGTTTAAAATCCAGTAATACAGTGTCTCACAATGCTCTGCACATGCTCAGTTGCTCTCCATTTTTTGGCACTGTTCCTAAAATGTAGAGGCTCTGCTGACAGCCTAAAGATTTACTGCTGCTCTGGGCTTCACCAAAATGGCAGCCACCAGCAAGAAGAAATAGCGACAATGCTGGAGGCAGTTTACAGCACACACTAATATTGGCAGCATAATTATTAATGTGAATTTTATGTTCCTCGCTGAAGAACATTATTTTTGATCAAGTTGTTATGGGTAAAGTTTCACTTAACCACTTCAAGTCCGGACACTTTCACTCCCTTCCTGTCCAGGACAATTTTCAGCTTTCAGTGCTATCACACTTTGACAATTGCGTGGTCATGCAACACTGTACATTAATTTTTTAGAGACAGATAAAACTTTATTTTGGTGGTATTTATTCACCACTGGGATTTTTATATTTTTTTTGCTATATGAATGAAAAAGTCCAAAAATTTTGAAAAAAAAAAGTGTTTTTCTTATAACATTTTGCAAATAAATAATCTTTCTTCATAAATCTTGGCCAAAATCTATTCGGTTATTTTTTTAGTAAACAAAAAAAAAAACCAAATTAGTTTATAACCATAAATTATAATTTTTCTACATTTTTCTTTACATTTTTTTTGTTTTCTTTTATATTATTATTTATGTTTTTTTTTTTTTACATACTGCCACCCTAGCAGTACAGTGTCACCATAGTGACACTGTGCTACTTGTGGGGGGTGATGATTTTTTTTTTTTTTACACTGTTTGCCATAAAGGCTGTAAAAGCAATAATTTCTCCTTCTCTCTGGCTGCATTCTTGCAGCCATTGAGAAATACTGTGAGAGCTGTGATTGGTCACAGCTTGTCACATGGTACAAGGCTGTTGTGAATAGTATTGTACCATGTGACCTCTGTGATCATTCACAGATTTCACTAGTAGTAAGCAATGATGTCAGAAGTGACATCTTGCTTACTACTATTCATGTGATCGCTGATTGGCCAATCAGCGATCACATGATCGGGACCTCACACAGAGGTCCCGTACAGGGGTGTCGCGCGCTCCCAGGGAGATCGCACAACTTGAAAATGCGGGTGCCGTTTATGAACAGCAACCAGCTCTTGCACTGCTTCTGACCGGCCGTTTATATACATGGGCCAGATGGGAAGTGGTTAAACATGGGATGGGGGGTCTTTTAACCTCTCCCCAACACTTAACAGAAAGTTTATCCCCCTAAAGCCTAACCGCTAATATTAACGCCCTGAATCTTTGTGCTCCAACTAGCCCAGGATTACACATTTTTTTTCCAAATTATCCAGTTAAAATCAGTGAATTTTAGGTGAAAGTTTTGTGAATCTTGTGTGAAAATATGTATAATTATACCCCAACTTGTATAACATTTCATTCATCCTGTGATGTCATTAATATGTTCCTTCCAGCGAGCCTTGTGGGTTTAAATCCCATTATGAGGAGCTGGCTAGTGCAGTACGGGAGGAGTTCCCCGATGTGTCGATCGACTCTCGCCCTGGTGGAACAGGTGGGTATTACACATCACATTGCAAAGTCTAGCCCCCTATGTTGTAATGGAGCTCCCTTGATTGATCCCTGTTAATCTGATGTGGTTTTATTTTCAGGAGCTTTTGAAATTGAAATAAACGGACAATGTGTTTTCTCCAAGCTGGCATGTGGTGGCTTCCCTTATGAAAAAGATGTAAGTTTTTTTCAAATCTCTTTCCAGAAGAAAAACAACTTTTTATCAAGTTGATCCATTACTTTAAACCCGAAAAATAATTGCCCTCTAAAGTTACATAATACTAATGTATGAAATGGGTATGTAGGGAGTAATGACTCCATCCTTTTTTCCCATATTTACTACTGTTTGGGGTCCTAGCCCTGTCTACGGGACAGCTGTGATTGGCCCAGCCCAGCTTTTCAGCCAAGCTACTGCCGTCATCAATAAATTGTGTTTGGCATCCAGTTGATTAACCTCCCTGGCGGTATTCCTGAGTGTAGCTCGGGGTAAAGTTTCAGTACCACAAGTGGTAATCCCGAGCTACACTCGGACTTACCATGCGGCGCTGCTCCGGGATCCCTCGATCACTTACCTTGTCCTGCGCTCCCGCGATGTCCCTCCTGCAGTGTCCCCTGTAATGTCCTCCGGTGGATGCCGGCATCTGTCTTCTGGGTTCCGTACCCTGCGAGCGTCGGGACATATGGGGACGGAACGGCGGGAAATTTGAAAATGACAAAAAGTAACATTCACTAAATACACTAAAATCACATAGTAAAACATTCCTGTATCAAACCATTTCACATACATTTTGTCCCGAGTGCTTTGTCCTGTGCCCTGCCTGCATTTTTACTGTTCTTTCTACCTGGAAACTGAGAAATGTCCATGGCGTCCAAAAAGTATCCCTTTAGGTCAAAATCGGTTTTAGACCGGCTAGAGAACAGCGATAGTAAATTAGAACTACTTGCAGAATTGAGTGATAATGATTCGTGGGAGGTGATTGTAGCCGTATTCGTGCATTTGCGACAGAAATAATTGAGTACTGTCCGTGATACTTTTTTTTATTTGCACTAACATACAATTTTGAGGACAAGCTTTCGGGGTATGTCCCCTTCTTCGAGGTCCAAGCAGTACTACACAAATCACAAAGTTTTAGCAGAATGTTAGAAGAGATGAAAAAAAAAAAAAAAGAGGCTAGAGATAAGACACAGCAAAAGCAAAGGGGGGGGGGACAACACTCACATCACAGAGGGAGTCAAGCTTGAGCTGGTAGTCATAAAACTGTTGGATAATGATTGAGGAATCCCCTGTCCAAATTCAGGCCCTTATTATTATTATTATACAGTATTTATATAGCGCCAAAGGGTTTGCTCAGCGCTGGACAGTAGCAAGGGGGACAGAACATGAGACAAGACAGTAACAATACAATACACGAGGGGTTCGAGGGCCCTGCTCTTAAGAGCTTACAATCTAGGAGGGAGACCCTTATCTCTTGTCAAATAGAATTATCATTCTTAGTTCAAAAGTTTTTCTTTCCTGAATGGATTTGAAATTTCCTTTAAGAACTAAAACATTGATGTCTCCCATTGTGTGGCCTGGTTGTGTGAAATGGTGTCCCACAGGTGTGCAGAGGTCATCTTCTTTATGTTCCTTGATGGTATGTCTGTGCAAATTCATCCTCGTTTGCAACTTCTGTCCTGTTTATCAACATAAGATCCTTTGCTGCATTTTCTGCACTGGATAAGGTACACAACATTACTGGAGGTGCAGCTGTATGATCCGGAAATAGTGAAGATCCCTTTTGAGTGTCTGACACTTTTTGATGGATTGATTTGGTTGCACAGTTTGCAGCGTTTCTTATTGCAGGGTTTGCTTCCATTATTTGTGATGTCATAATCAGAAGGGAGTTTCCTACTGATTAGTTTATTTCTGAGGTTGGGGGGTTGTCTGAAAGCCAGTCAGGAATATTTCTTTCAGAGTTCCATCCTCTGTTATGGGTTGTAAATCTTTGATTATTTTTCTTATCCCTTCTAGTGCTGGGTTGTATGTGGTTACTAGAGGTACACGGTTGTTTGTTTGTTTTTTTTCTCTTTGTACTGAAGTAGGTTTTCCCTTCGTGTTCTCAAGGCTGTGTTTATACTGGTGTTGATAGTTTTGTCCTTGTAACCTTTCTTATGGAAGGCGTCTGCTAGTGTCCCGAGATGTGTATCTCTGTCTCTTGGGTCAGAACATATTCGGTGGTATCTAATGGCCTCACTGTGTATGATGGCACGTTTTGTGTGTTGGGGGTGGAAGCTGGAACTGTGGAGGTAGTTGCATCTGTCAGTGGGTTTCCTGTATATTGAGGTGTGAAGCGTATCATCCCTGATGTATACTGTGGTGTCTAGGAAGTTGACGTGTGTGTTTGGGTATTCCATTTTTAGTTGAGTGATGGATGAAAAGTGTTGATCAATGAGTAAAATTGTTTTAGGTGTTCTTCACCTTCTGTCCATATGATGAAAATATCATCAATATAGCGATAATATCTGTATGCTTTTTGTTCCATGCTGTTCAGGAATTTTTCCTCCAGGTCAGCCATAAATAAATTGGCATATTGGGGTGCCATTTTACTGCCCATCGCAGTGCCCATACATTGAAGATAGATGTCTTTATTGAAGGCAAAGTGGTTGTGTGTAAGTATGAATTCAATGAGCTGTGTAACATCCTCAGCAGTGTATTTGTGGTTTGGTGAGGATGATAAAGATCTGTGACATGCAGCTAATCCATCCTTGTGAGGGATATTACTATACAGGGATACTACATCCATAGTCACTAGAAGTGTATTGGATGGTAATTGCTGGATGTTGTTGATCTTGTTCAGAAAGTCAGTGGTGTCTTGCAGGAAACTAGCAGTATTCTTGACTAACGGTTTTAAAATATTTTCTACAAAGCCTGAGATTTGTTCGGTGAGTGTATTCATACCTGTTATGATGGGTCTGCCTGGATTTCCTGGCTTGTGGATTTTGGGCAGCATGTAGAAGTCCCCGGTTTCTGGATGATCCGGAATCGCATTTATAAGTTCTGAATGTAGGTGGGCTGGAAGTGTTTTTAATGAGACCTTTTAATTGCTTTGTAAGGTCCTGGGTCAGATCATAATCCAGTTTTTTATAGTAAATTGCATTTTCCAGCTGCCTCTGGCCTTTTTGTATGTATTTGTATCCATCACAACAACTGCTCCCCCTTTATCCACTGGTTTGATGGTGATGGCCTGATTATTGCACAAATCGTGTATAGCCCTTCGCTCTAGTGGTGAAAGATTGTACAGAATTTTCTTTTGCTGGGTGGATATCAGGGATGTAGCTCGCAATCTGAAGCTATCAATATAGGTGTCCAGTTTGGGGTTGTGTCCTTTTGGGGGTGTGAAGCAGCTGTTCTTTTTCTTTGTGTAGCACTCCATTGTCCTAGGATTCTTTTCATTATTGTGGGGGGACAAAGAGAAGGCAAATTTATTTAATACCTTCTTCAGCTCTGTGTATACAAAGGAGCATGGGGGAGCTCTTGTCCATAATGGGCATGGTATTGACACAGCTCCAGATGATCCACATTGGCTCACAATTTATATGATCCAGAAATATTTAGACAGATTAAAGGTGAATAAAGCACCTGGACTGGATGGCATACACCCACGGGTCCTTAAAGAATTGAGCTCTGTCATTTCAAAGCCATTGTTTCTAATTTTTAGGGACTGTTTAATGACTGGCATAGTACCACTGGATTGGCGTAAGGCCAATGTGGTGCCAATATTTAAAAAGGGGTCAAAATCTTTAGCAAGTAATTATAGACCTGTTAGTTTAACTTCTATAGTTGGGAAGATACTGGAGAGCAGGGGTGGACTGACCATTTGGAAACTCGGGCACTGCCCGAGGTCAGTAGGGGGCCCCATGAGATGCCTCCTGGTACCGTTTTCATAGGCTTTTTTGAGTTTGGGCAAGGACACAGGAGCCCCATGATCCCCTATTGCCCGGGGGCCCCATGAGTTGTCAGTCCGCCCCTGCTGGAGAGTTTAATAAAAGACCACATAGATGAGTTCTTGCTGGAGAAAAATATTTTAAGCAACAGACAGCATGGATTCATGAAAGACAGAAGTTGTCAAATAAATCTGATTTCTTTTTTATGAGGAGGTGAGCAAAACCTTGAATGGAGGGGTGGATGTGGTATACTTGGCCCGAGGGGTGGCGGTGGACGTGGTATATTTGGATTTTGCAAAAGCGTGTGACACAGTTCCCCACACATGACTAATGTTTAAGGTAAAGTCTACAGCAGCGGCTCAACCTGGGGGTCGAACGACCATTTCCCAGGGGTCGCCTAAGACCATCGGAAAACACATATTTCCGATGGTCTTAGGAACTGAGACACCGCTCCTCTCTCCAGCGATGTGTGGGCGGGATGATACGCTGCTCCTGTCACCTGGCCACACCTCCGGGATCGCTCAGCAGCTCCGCCTCCTCGCCGCTGATTGGCCACCGGAACTGTAGCTCAGGAGAGGCACACAGGCGGCCAATCACCGGCGAGGAGGTGGAGCTTGGAGAGGAGGAGCCGAGCGGCAGCGCGCGTACATCAAAGAAGATCGAGGGAGCTGCCGGAGCGAGTGAAGAGGAGAGCGGCCAGAGAAGGAAGACAGCTGACAGGTAAGTGAGAGAGCGAGCCCAGGCTGTCACTAATACCAACGATGGGGCACTATTCCTCCCCCCATTGACACCAACGATGGGGCACTATTCCTCCCCCCACTGACACCAACGATGGGACACTATTTTCCCCCCCCCACTGACACCAACGATGGGGCACTATTCCTCCCCCCACTGACACCAACGATGGGACACTATTTCCCCCCCCCCACTGACACCAACGATGGGGCACTATTCCTCCCCCCACGGACACCAACGATGGGACACTATTTCCCCCCCCCCCGACCCCAATGATGGGGCACCACTCCCCCGCCCGACGCCAGCGATGGGGCACCACTCCCCCCGCCGACGCCAGCGATGGGGCACCACGCCCCCCGCCGACGCCAGCGATGGGGCACCACGCCCCCCGCCGACGCCAGCGATGGGGCACCACGCCCCCCGCCGACGCCAGCGATGGGGCACCACGCCCCCCCCGCCGACGCCAGCGATGGGGCACCACGCCCCCCGCCGACGCCAGCGATGGGGCACCACGCCCCCCGCCGACGCCAGCGATGGGGCACCACGCCCCCCCGCCGACGCCAACGATGGGGCACCATTCCTCCCACTGCAAAATTACAGTTATGAAGTAGCAACGAAAATAATTTTATGGTTGGGGGTCACCACAACATGAGGAACTGTATTAAGGGGTCGCGGCATTAAAAAGGTTGAGAACCACTGGTCTACAGGCTTGGAAAAATCTGTATGTAAATGGATAGAAAACTGGCTGAAAGATCATATTCAGAGAGTAGTGGTTAATGATTCATAGTCTGAATGGTCTAGGGTCATCAGTGGTGTACCCCAAGGTTCAGTGTTGGGACCCTTACTTTTTAATATATTTATAAACCATATAGGGTCTGGGATTAAAAATCCCATTTCAGTCTTTGCAGATGACACCAAGCTGTGCAGTGGAATAACGTCCTTACAGGATGTCTCCAATTTACAAGCTGACCTCAATGCACTGTTTAATTGGGCAACTATGTGGCAAATGAGGTTTAATGTTGATAAATGTAAGGTTATGCACTTGGGGGCTAAGAATATGCATGCATCATACATACTAGGGGGGGTACAACTGGGGGAATCAATGGTGGAGAAGGATCTGGGAGTTCTGGTAGTAGATCACAAGCCTAATAATGGCATGCAATGCCAAGCTGAGGTTTCTAAAGCGAGCAAAATCCTCTCTTGTATTAAAAGAGGTATAGACTTCAGAGAGAGATATCATATTACCCCGGTACAAAATCATTAGTAAGACCTCATCTGGAATATGCAGTTCAGTTTTGGGCACCAATTCACAAAAAGAACATTGGGGAACTGGAGAAAGTACAGAGAAGGGCAACCAAACTGATAAGAGGCATGGAGGAGATCAGCTATGAGGAAAGATTAGAGGAACTGAATTTATTCTCTTGAGAAGAGGAGATTAAGGGGGGATATGATCAACATGTATAAATACATCAGTGGTTCATATAGTGAACTCTGTGTAGAGTTATTCACCCTGAGGTCATCACAGAGGACAAGGGGGCACTCTTTAACGTCTGGAGGAAAGGAAATGTAATCTCAAAACACAGAGGTTTCTTCACAGTGAGAGCTGTGAAAATGTGGAATAGACTCCCTCAAGAGTTGGTTCTGGCCAGCGCAGTGGATTGCTTTAAAAAAAAAAAAAAAGTCCTGGATTCTTTCTTGGATACACAGAATATAACTGGATACTAACATTTATAGGTAAAGTTGATCCAGGGAATATCCGATTGCCTCTCGGGGGATCAGTAAGGAATTTTTTCCCTGCAGGAGCAAATTGGATCATGCTTTACCGGGGGTTTATTTTTGCCTTCCTCTGGTTCAACTGTGGGTATAGGATTATAACTTTTTTTTTTTTTTTGGTTGAACTGGATGGACTTTTGTCTTTTTTCAGCCAGACTAACTATGTAACAAATACAGCACAAGATAGTTTGTCAGGGTTGTAGGCATGTGGTGTGTATATAGAAACAGTTTAGTATAGTTAGCATACTCTGTGTGACTGCAAAGGATGTCTGGTCCATTATCTCTCTTATGGCTCCTAGGACTTTATAGTTTCATTTAGAACATAACTTTGTAAGAGCTTCCCTATAGAAATGGAAATGTCAGGATGTATGTAATATACAACTCTCCTTCTTCTGTAGTTGATGGAGGCAATTCGGAAAGCCAGCAGAGGAGAACCTGTGGAGGAGATCACTAACAGCAGAGCACCCTGCGTCATCTTGTAACATCAACTCCTTCCCCTGCGTCCAGCGTTATGACGTCACATTACTTGTCCTTTCCTCTGGATGACTAGAATATTTTTTCTTTTTTTTTTTAATCTTCTACTGCGGTGTCCAGCAGACCCAGACTGACAATATGGCGGTGTAAAGAACTGATCGGCCTGATAGTGCTTAGCTATTGTTTAATCAGGGGGGCTCAGGCTCCTTGTGATTTAGGGCTTATGTGTTTGCAATCTCATTCATTTTCAATGGCACCAAAATGCACTGAGATTCTACCATGAAAAATCGCTCCAAACCACAATGCGTGAAACTTGTCGCTCAAAAATGAGCAGGAGGTTCTTTTGGGTGATGTGCGTTGCTCAATGCAGTTTGTGCGATTGTAGCACGATTTATCATACAACAATTGCAGAACTGCACCGGGTTTTGGTGCCATTGAAAACGAATGGCACCTGAATAGGCGTGGTGCAATTTGTCATTTGTACACGTTTTTGGGATTGCGGGCAAAATCATGGCAATTCTGCCTGAGACTACAAATGTTCAAGGCCTTAAAGAGGAACTGATCCCATGTGCAGCACCACGGCAACTGCAGGCTAAAATGGCAGCTTCCTTGGCTGTAAAGGATAGGAGGGTTTAGTTCTGCTTTAAGGAGAACTCCGGACAGAATATACATCTCCGGTGTGCATTCATAATCTCTGGTTATGTGCAAATAGGACATTTTAATTGCTACAGCAAAACCCAAGCTGAAAACTTTTAAAGTATTACTAAACTCAGGACCCTGCATCCATGACATCTGGTCTCCCACAGAACATGGAAGTGCAATTTTTTTTTACTAAATATAAACTGCTAAATACTTTTTCTCATCAGCAGTTACAGCAGTCTTGTGACTTCTATCAATGTCCAGCAGAGCACTGGATAAAGCTTGAAGGAGTTTTCTTTCTGCTCTAGGAGGATGCAAAACCCCTGACCTCTGCATGTGATCAGCACAGGACCAATCAGCACTGTTCAGACACTCTCCCAAGAAAAAAAAAAAAAAACCTCTAGCAATACACACCAAACTGGGCATGTGCATGCCTATGGTTTAGTCTGGAGATAAGTAGTGGTTGCTTGAAAAGGGGGGGGGGGGGGAGATCAAATGGCCTTTTTACACAATGCAGAGGATTAACCCCTCCACAGTGAGTATAACAATCATGCTTTACTGCATATACAGACTGATTGTACTGTTGTGGGTTTAGTAACACTTTACAAATGTTAGTTCACCTTTACCAGACGCCTATGCAGAAGGGGTGTCTATGGATTATAATCTGTGTGTCTCTGATTAAAGTAGAATGATTAAAGTTGAATAATGCCTTGCTATAGGTGTAGGCCATTTTCGTACTTCCTGAAGCCTGGCTGGAAAAACTCCCAGGATACTGGGATAGCCCCGCAAGCATGCATGACCATTCTAGCGATAGATGGTCATTGGATGATGCTGCGTGTCTGTCCATGTGGGGCACAGTTTGGAGCACTTGTTATGTCCTGGAAAGATTTACCAATCAAGATATGGAAGTAGGAGTTGGACACCAGCACCCTGCACTTATTTCACTAATTTGGGACGGAGTTATATTTCCTTGTATAGTTTATGCGCAGTCTATGTGGTTTTCAAATTTACCAGAAACCTGCCTACGCAAAAGGGTTGTCTATGGATAATAAACTGTGTGTCTCTGATTAAAGTAGAATAATGCCTTGCTATAGGTGTAGGCCATTTATGTACCTCCTGAAGCCCTACTGGAACACTCCCAGGACCGTTGCTAGGATGTTGCTAAGTGAGGCCTAGCCATTACTTCTCACCTTCACCATCACAGAAGTGAGCTCTTGCTCTGATTCAGATCTCCTCACATGCTCTCTCTCCCCCGATGCAGTAGCTCTGAGCTCAGCATCTGAGAGCTCACTCCTGTGATGGTGGAAGTGAACAGTAATGGCTAGGCCTCACCTAGCAACGCCCTGGGAGTTTTCCAGCCAGGCTTCAGGAGGTATATAAATGGCCTCCACCTATAACAAGGGCATTATTTGACTTTAGTCAGAGCTGTAGTTTGGTTTATCTACAGACACCTCTTATCTGCATAGGCAGCTTTTTTTGTAAAGGCGAACTATCCCTGTTAGACTGCTTATTCCTGATTATAGCAATATATTCATGTGCGAAAGGGAAGGATTTTGTGGCGTACGATCTAGCTAGTGTCCAGACTACAGCTGGGATTCTGCTTTAATATCTCTGTATAACCTGTACATCTATGATTGGAATGATGTGACAAAATCAGACATTTCTTATGTACTGTACATTATACCAACATTTATTAAAATATTTTTTTTTCCAGTTTTGGCTATTAAGAGTGACATGATGCAAAAATAAAACACCAGAAAAAAAAAAAGACTTGTATTCATTACAGAGCAGGGTTGCATGAAGTTTTTTTTTTTTAAAAAAAAAAAAAAAGAACAGTTCTTTAAAAATAGATGCATGTGAAAAGGAAAGGTGAAATCATTAACACAGGGTTATGGAGAAAACACAAAAGGGAAAAAAAACAATAAAAAACATAAATGATTTAGAACAAGTCCATATACAGTGCAAGGTGTAAAACCGATTCTCATGATAGAGTGGTTGTTAGGTTTGAGATGCTTGATGTATGTTTTGTTTTTTTCACAATTTACACTTCATTACAAAATCAAAGGAAGAACCCGGATGGACAATGCAGATACTTGTTTCTTTGTATTTTTCAGATACTTTAAAATGATGATTGATTTAAAAGAAAAAATAAAAAAAACCCGCACCAAAGGAAATTGCCTTTTGCCATCTGCATTCTTTCAGTTGGGCTTTGGGCTGCCTCTCAGGTCTATCAGATATTATTACTACTACAGGTACATGTATAACACCGTCAATTTACATATATATTGTACATTCACATCAGTCCCTAACCCTCAAGGGGCGTACAATCTAAGATCCCTAACTCACATACTAGGGCCAATTTAGACAGGAGCCAATTACCTACCAGCATGTCTTTGGAGTGTAGGAGAAAACCGGAGTACCCAGAGGAAACCCACACAGGCACAGAGAGTGGTTGGGATTCAGATCAACGACCGTAGTGCTGCTAGGCTGAATAACAAAAATGGAAATTGAAGCACCACACCACTGCTAAGGGGTCCAAAGACAACTTTATTCCAATAAAAGTCAGGAGGACAATCCCAAAAACATTCCAATGTGTTTCAGGGGTCTAATAACCCCCTTCATCAGGGCTAGGCAAAAATATAAGAGATAACCTCTCCATGTCTATACAATATTCACTCCTAAGGGTCATACTTAATACCAAATACTATTGATGCACTGACATATCAGCTGCCAAAAATAGGGTTATCAAAAAAAAAAAAAAAAAAAAATGTGCTGCTAATGATACTTGACTTCAATGCCAAAATTGTGTCCCATTGACTGCAATGCAAAAACGCCCCCTATTAACTGCAATATAAAAACATCTCTATTTAAGTTTTGTAATTTTATTTTATGTCCAATTTTTGTGTTGTTACTTTCAATAAGTTATTTTACATTAATTGGTTGTATTATTTAAATTCATATTCATGCAAAGTCATGATATTAAATTAAAAAGTTGAATATAATACAATTATATATAAAAAAAATATATTTTTTTTAAAAACTGTCCATTTCCATTTTCAGCTAAGTGCATCCTGAATTTTCGGTTTCTGTCCAGAATTTCCATTTCAGTGCACCACTACCAAATACTGAATAGGTCTTTCAGATAGACAGCCCAATTGGCTAACTGGAGAAGCTAGTATGGAAAGCTGACAACGCTGCAGCTAATTGCGAGGCAGTGGTTTGGTGTTGTCAACCTGAAACAGGAAGTACTGTTACTGTCAGAATTGCCAAGTAAAAATTTTTGCACCAGATTAAAAAAACAAAACAAAAAAATCTGTATACAGTGAGGCACGTTGCCAAACATAACTGAAAAAAAAAATCAATTAAGGGTTTGCATACACTTTAAGTAAGCTGATACAGCCATTTTGTGCAGCAAATTAATACCAACTCGAGAGGGCACCTATTTCTTCTAAAATACTTACAATGATAAAAAAAAATGAATATGTTGAGACTAAAAGTGAAAGACACCAAAATAGACAGTTTGTTATAGAAACTCCCAGTACATGGATTAATTCTAGAAATGGGTGCTGCAAAACCCCCATATAGTTTTTACAGAATTGCAACAGAAGATGCAAAGGTGTGCCCAGTGCATGAAGAGTAAAGCCTCGTTCACATGAACGATGTGGATCGGGTCCGCCTGTCAGTTTTTCCAGTGGACCTGATCTGGATGGTCCATGTATCCCTATGGACCGGCGAGTGTAAACGGACTTTTACACCCACTTACCTCCAATCTGGTCTGGTCAAAAAAGACCCCAGAAAACAACAACAGAAGGGGATCCGTTCCCTTCTATCTAAGCGGACTGGATCAGAGGGCACTCAGGTGTAAACTGCTCTATGGGCAGTCGAGTGTAAACGGACCAACTGTCTGAGTGGGCCATGTCCATATCCACCTGCATACACTGAGCAGACACAGACCTGTCACCTGCACGCTCTGCTTTGCTCAGCAGGCAGTCAGTGGCCAAATCCCCTGCTGTGCAAAGTAGATCCACCCCATGTGAAAGTTGCCTAATTTCTATTACTTAGCTGGAAGAAATTGCGCAGAAAAAAAAGGAATTAATTCTACATTAGTGATCTGATGATTAATTATAGGTAATTGGACATATGCGGAATAATTACACTGCTGTACAGAGAAATATATTTCCGTTGCCCGCTTAGAAAGGTTATAAACATTAGAACGGACTTTTGTTCTGACAATGCTCATTTCCAAAGGGCAGCCCAAGCGATATAACGGTTATAGATGGCGCTGATGAGGTATACGCACATCGGGCTGTGGAACGCATATGCCTTGCCTAGGGGTGAGCTTGGGTTTGGTCGGAATTCAGGATGAAGCTGTCAGTGCTGGGCCACACAGAGGGGCGGGGCTGCTCATGGCATCCTTGATCTAACATGGCCATATTAGGTCTCTGATGTCATGAGCATCCCTACCCCCTTTGTTTACATGCAGCTGCAGGGTGGAAAATGCCTTGGCTACAATTGATTGGCTGGATACTGACAGCTTTCTCCCAGGTTTGGCCAAACACGGACTTGGATTATACCAAAGCAGATCCCAGGTTTCACCCACAGCCTAGCAGCCAACCAAATGCCAGTTTGTTAAAATAAGATGAGTGATAGATGATTTCTGGATGGTTAGTATGGCTGTTTTGGACATAGTCTGTGTGTGCATAAGGGCCCTTTACGTGAGATTCACGGTCAGGTCAGCCTGTCAGTTTTTCCGGTGGACCGTCCATACAGTTCTATAGACGATCCGCCTGTCAGTTTTTCCGGTGGACCGCCCATACAGTTCTATAGATGGTATGCCTGTCAGTTTTTCCGGTGGACCGTCCATACAGTTCTATAGACGATCCGCCTGTCAGTTTTTCCGGTGGACTGCCCATACAGTTCTATAGATGGTATGCCTGTCAGTTTTTCCGGTGGACCGTCCATACAGCTCTATGGAGAGACGGATGTAAACAAACATTCTTGTCTGTTTACACATGCGTACCTTTGAGTCCGTCCATGTCCAGTAAACCCCCCCCCCCCCCCCCCCCCCCCCCCCCCCCCCCCCCCCACCCCCCAAAAAGGAGCAATTTCCCATCTTTCTGGACCTAAACATGACAGATATAAATGAAACTCCGCAGTTCCTGCTACAGATTTTCCCTTACTTCCTTTTTCTATCATCATTGAGGACTGATGGTTATTGACAAACTGCTTCGGCCATCACATGACGTAATTTAACAGGTCCCATCCAGTGCAGGGAGCTGCGATTTTTTCTAGATCAGCATGTCATTGTTTTTGATCATTCGGACATTTTGCCCTGAAAAGAACCTGACTTTTTGCATGCTCAGCTGCTTCTTTTAAAACCAGAAACCAGCATGGATACAAGCAGGTGACCCTCACCATTCAATAGAGGAAAAGCACATAAAGCGGAACTAAACCCATAGCTTTAATGGGTTCCCAAAAAAATGACATCCAAGGTATGTCATGAATGATAACTGTCACAGTTGCTTGTGCTCTCAACTGAACTGTCAAGTCGTCAAACGGCTGATGCTGATCACGTGTAGCACCATGGCAACTGCAGATCAAACAGGCTAAGATGACAGCTCCCATGGCTGTAAAGGAGAGGAGGGTTTAGTTCCACTTTAAAGTACAGTATGTAATACATTTCCTATTTGCACACAGCTGACAACAGTCAATAAAAGCAATCTGCCAAGCCACGGTTTTACCATCCCCCCACCTTTGATACGGTTTTACCCCCACCTTTGCTTACCTAACTAAAGTGGAAAATAGAGCTGTTCACATGCTGTGGCAACTTGAACTACAAATTTAATGTCAGGTTGATAGCCACCAATGGGGCTGCACAGTACCATTTGGCATGTGGTCACAGAGCATTACCCCATTCTAAAATGCAGTTTGCAAAAAAAAAAAAAAAAAAGAAACAGGCATTCAGGAGGTGGCAGGATAGCCTCCCAAAGGCCTTACAGTGGCTGCTTAGCTTATCTGCACTCTAAAAAGTAACCCACTGCAGAAGGCTTTTCAGAGTATGGGTTAGTGTTAATTTGTTTTTGTTTTTTTTACGACAAGCTTTTGGGGGTCTACTCCCTTCTTCTAAGTTCAGTAATGCTTGTTACAAATTTGTTAGTGCAAATTAAAAATAAAAACAATAGTCATCACAAGTGCACTAATGAAGCTACAATCGCCCTACACAAGGCAAACACCTAAATACACAGCTGAAATATTTATGTTTATGGTTTTACCCACCAAAGTACGTGTAAAAATCTGTTTGGCCAGTGGTGTGATTTCCCCTAGGTTCACACTAATGCGGATTTCAGTGCGGTTACCAGTTTTGCAGAAATGCACTACAGTCCATTTACCATGATATCCTATGGATCTAGTTTGCATCTGTGCGTTTTGAGCTGGTGCGTTTTTTTGGCAAGGGTCAGGGACTTTTTTACCGCAGCAGAGTGCATTTTGCTTGCAATAGACTTTAATGGACCTACACCAAAACACAAGTGTTGCATTGTTGATGCTTTTTTTTGTTGCCAATAGAAAAGTATTGACTTTGATGCAGCTTTTTTTTTTTTTGCTAATAGGAAAGTATAGCAGTTCATGCAGTGCAACTTTGATGCGACTTTACAATCTCTGGCACTCAAGTAGCATCAAAGTCACATCAAAGTAGTGCAGGAACCTGTATGTGTCCAAAGTTGCATGGTAGGGTTGTGGTTAAGGGATAACATTACTTTGATGCTACTTGAGTGCCACAGAATGTAAAGTTGCACTACATGAACAGAAATGTTATACTTCCTATTAGCAAAAAAAAAAAAAAAGTCGTATCCAAGTCACACCCATCCAACGTTGCATTTTGTATTAAAGTCACTCCCATCTAAAATCGCATCAAAGTCACACCCATTCAAAGTTGAATCAAAGTTGCACCCATCTAAAGTCGCAACAAAGTTGCACCCTTCCAAAGTCGCATCAAAGTCAATATTGGAAAAAAAAACAAACAACACAACATACATTAAAAACACATGTTCAAAAACACAAAACGCACTGTCAAATCGCACCATCTGCATAGATGTGAACCTAGCCTCACACATCCCGGTAAGACAGCAAACCCTGGAATGTAATTCGGTTGCTTGCTGGTTCTTTGGACAGTAGTGAGGATGTTGATTCTTTGTCCAATGACCAGGCTGAAGGCGGGAAGGTTGCATAAGAGCAGGGGTGTCAAACTGGCGGCCCTCCAGCTGTTGCCAAACTACAAGTCCCATCATGCCTCTGCCTTTGGGAGTCATGCTTATAACTGTCAATCTTGCAATGCCTCATGGGACTTGTAGTTTGGCAACAGCTGGAGGGCCGCCCGTTTGACACCCGTGCATAAGAGGAATCTGCTGTGTGACTGCACATTATATCATAGGTATGTGAAGAAGCAGACTGGCTATGCCAAATTACAAACACTTTGGTAACTCAAACTGTAAAGATACGTGTATTTCACTTGAGTATTTGGCTAATCGCCTGACGTTCTGCTTTAACTTAGGGGTATGTGATGCCCACTTACCTGCCAGACAATCCTGATAAATATACAGTATATACTGTATGTTCATACTTGCAAACATGAAATTTGTTCTTGAGTTAAAAGTGATTTTTTCCCTTTCTGTAGTGTTCTTTCACATTGTCATTATCTGAGTATTAAAAATTGGCCTCACTACGGTAAGGCCTACTTCAGTTCCAGATCAGGAACTATAAGCAGTTGATACCATATAAAATGTTAACGTATATACACAGCTCTGTACTATACAACTACAATTCTGCAGCACAAAAGTCTCTTGTGCATAGAATTTAGATCTGAGCTTTCTCATCTCCAGTTCAAAGGTTGCAATTCAAATCATTTCTGGTTGGTTGACTATGTAGGTCAGAACAGATATTTTTGAAAACCGTAGTTCATGATGTCTTCAAAAACACCAGACTCCCTTGATTCTGGGGGCATGTCTATGCAGTCACATCCCGAGGCCTCAGAATTGCCCCATCTAGTCCCAAGTATTCTGGATTTTCTGCTGTTGGAGTGGTGAATCCATTGGGTTCTGGGTTAGGATCCTGTTCTCCTCTCGAGGAGTTGAGTTCGTGGTTCCAGTAATAAAGATTGTCAAAAGCTTGAGGGAAAAAGTTTGGTGCTTGTAGTCCTGGTGGGGGGAGATAGTCTGGATTCTCCACCGCAGCTATGGCTGCTGGGCTCATTGGCTCTCGGATAAAGCCATTCCTGCACACCTGTCCCTTCTGTCTTTCCAGAGTGGAAACCGATGTTCTTGGTGTCTTCACTGATGAGCGACTTCTTCTCGGTTCTCTTTGGTTTACATACTCTGCAACAGAGAAAACAAGAGGCGAGATCAGAGAACTCAATTAACCTATAGACCTTAGAGCAGGAATGTTTCTGGATTGCATACTTGCCTTACTCCAGCTTGGCACAATGTAAGTATGCTGATCTACAGTCATGGCCAAAAATATTGGCACCCCTGCATTTCTATCAGATAATACACCACTTCAGCCTCAAAATTGTTGCTATTACAAATGTCTAGACATTGTCATGTTTATTTCTTTTGTTTGTTTTGATATGACACAAAAAGGGGAGAAACAAAAAGCCAAATCTGACACATTCCATGCAAAACCCCAAAAAATGGACTGGATAAAATTATTAGAACCCTCCTTTACTATTTGGCAGCATGCCCCTTGGACAAAATAACTGAAATAAATTGCTTCCTGTAACCATCAATGAGTTTCTTCCACCTCTCTACTGGAATTTTGGAGCACTCTTCTCTAGCCAACTGCTCCAGGTCTCTCAGATTGGAAGGGTCTCTTTTCCCAACTGCTGTTCTGAGATCTCTCCGCAGGTGTTCTATGGGATTGAGATCTGGACTCATTGCTGCCACTTCAGTACTCTCCAGCGCTTTGTCTGAAACCATTTCTGGGTGCCTTTTGATGTGTGGTTTGGGTGATTGACCTGCTGTAAGACCCATGACCCCTGACGGAGACCCAGCTTTCTGACACTGGACCCTACATTGCACCCCAGAATATCAGTGAACCTCCACCATGTTTGACTGTAGGGACTGTATTCTTTTCTTTAAAGGCCTCATTGCGTTTTCTGAAAACAGGAGAATGATGGGCTTTATCACGTTTTGGCAAACTCCAATCTGGCTTTTTTATGTTTCTGTGTCAGCAGTGGGGACCTCCTGGGTCTCCTACTATAGTGTCCTTTTTCATTCTGAAGGTCAGCTAGAATTTGTCTGGAAGTAGATCAAGCTTCTTTATCCACCATTCGAACAATCCTTGATCAATTTTTCTCTTTCATCCACGTCCAGGGAGATTAGCTACAGTGTCATGGTCTGTAAACGTCTTGACAATGTTGCGCATAGTGGACACAGGAACATTAAGATCTCTAGAGATAGACTTGTAACCTTGAGATTGCCCATGCTTTTCCACAATTTTTGTTCTCAAATCCTCACACAATTCTTTGCTGCTCTTTCTCTTCTCCATGCTCCATATGGCACACAGAAAAACACGACAGAAAGGTTGAATCAATTTTTCACCATTTTAACTGGTTGCCAGTGTGATTTCTATATTGTCAGTACCTGTTCATTGATACAAGTGAGTTTAATGACAAATTACAGGAGCATCACAAACTTGGAATGCAATTATTTCTTACAATTTTGAAAAGGTGCCAATAATTTTCTCAAGTCCATTTTTGAGGTTTAACGCGGAATGTGTCAGATGGGACCAAAATTTATCTCTTTGGCATTAACCCGACTCGCTATGTTTGGAGGAAGAAAAATGCTGACTATGACCCCAAGAACAACATCCCTACAGTCAAGCATGCAGGTGGAAACATTATACTTTGGGGCTTTTTCTCTGCATTGTAAAATCTTGCATGAGAACCTTCTTCCCACAGCCAGAACACTGAAGATGGGTCGTGGATGGGTCTTCCAGTATGACAATGACCCAAAACATACTGCCAAGGCAACAAAGGAGTGGCTCAAGAAGCACATTAAGGTCATGGAGTGGCTTAGCCAGTCTCCAGAACTTAATCCTATAGAAAATATATGGAGGGAGTTGAAAAGAGAAGATCTGTAAAGAGTGGACCAAAATCCCTCCTGAGATGTGTGCCTAGTAACCAACTACAAGAAACGTCTTACCTCTGTGTTTGCCAACAAGGGTTTCTTTACAAAGTACCAAATCATGTTTTGCTTAGGGATCAAATAATTATTTTACTCACTGAACTGCAACTCAATTTATAACATTTCTTTCATGTGCTTTTTCTGGATTTTTGGTTCATATTTTATCATTTAAAATACATCTATGATAAAAATTATAGACCCTCCATTTCTTTGTAAGTGGGCAACTTACAAAATCTGCAGGGGATCAAATAATTATATTCCCCACTGTATGTATGTATTTGCTATGGATAGGATCATAAATAATAGGGCCTATGTTCAGTATCAAGCATGTATGTTTTTTAAAACTCATGTATTTGAGGGAATGTTAACAGTCATCAACCTGTTATGATGGGTTGGATGGACATTAATAAAGCTGTTTTTAGCTGATGCATGTGTACCTTTTTTTTTTTTTTTTTTTTTTGAGGGACAATGCACCAAAAAAAGGCCAATGGTACCTGTTAGGCTATCCTGCTTGGGAACCATTTTGTTTGCAGAGTAAGCAGAATATAATTTTATGGTGTATGTTATTACATACAAAAATTACATTCTAATGTGTTTATGATAATTCCTATTTTCATCCATTTCAGTTGAGAGTGAAGATTAATATTAAAGCGATACTAAAGTATTGTTTTTTTCCCCCCCCTTAAAAATAACAAACATGTCTATATTTACCTGCTGTGTGCAGTGGTTTTGCACAGAGCAGCCCGTATCCTCCTCTTCGAGTCCTCCGCCGGCGCTTCTGGCCCCTCCCTCCTGTTGGGTGTCCCCACACAGCAAACAGCTTGCTATGGGGCATCTGAGCAGGCGTGCTCCTGAGCCGCGGCTCTGCATGCCCATCCATGATCTGCTCACTGACTGTGATTGACAGCAGCGAGAGGCTCTCGTGGACACTGCTCGATAAGAGGGAGCTCAGGTACGTGTTAAGGGGGGCTGGGGGGGTCTGCTACACACAGAAGGTTTTTTACCTTCATGCAGAGAATGCATGAAGGTAAAAAACCTTAAGCCTTTAGAACCACTTTTAGAGCGGTCATTTTTTAGCATGGTCCTATAGCAAATAGAACACTGAATTTCTGAAAAGAATCTAAGCTCTTCATTTCCAAGGCACATATTTCCTATTTGAGGTCTATATCTGCATCTGTCATTTTCTCTAGAGATACTGTATTTAAAAATTTCCCTTTGTGATAGGATGGTAAAAAATTCTCCAAGGGCACCAGATGCCTATCCAGTCAGAAGAAAAGCAATAATTCAAAATTGGATCCCGCAAAAATCTTCCTCTGTACGCCAATTTTAACAAAAATTCCAACAGGTCTACTGTGTGGAGTGGTCGGAGATCCTCCTCAACAAAGAAGCTCTCTTAAAAGGTTTTTGTAATACTTAGGAAAGCATAATTATTATATTGACCCTAAACACAAAAGCACAGCACAACAATTAAAGACAATTACTTGATAGCTCAAAAGGAACATGCAATGGAGACCCACCTATACTTTAGAAATAAACTCAAAAAATTTAGACTGATGTATCTTGAGAGAGCAAAGGATGGGATGACCTATCACCACCCTGCCAGCCACAACCAAATCAGATGCTCATCCCAAACCATAGTGAGCAATCAGTCCAGTTCAGGCACCCACTCTATTTTCTTGATTACTTTTCAGAATGTTTGGGCTCAGATTCATTTTTATGTACTTCATGCTGCCTTTCAGCCAAACAACTCTAAGTACCAATGGTTACGTACGTGTCTCCCCAAGACATATGTCATTTCTGTCGATCATCAAATTATTTTTGGAATTAAAACAGCATACATTACATCTGCTCCCCTGTCTAGACATATTTGTTGCCAAGTAAATTCCATGATGCCTGTGAACATCAGTAGATCATTTAATCCAGTGTACTGGCTGGGGTGCTGGAATATTTTTGATCGAATGGAAAAAGAGTTAAAGACTCGATCATATTTTTTAGTGCTGTGTCTTTATTTGGAAGTTTTTTTCCATTCCTGTCTATTTAATGGGTGTAAATCTGGCCATAGGTAGGTTGCCTGTGGGCTGAAGGAAAAAAAAAGAATGGATTTCTCCATCCGCACATGCAAGGTAGATGAAGGAATATCCCCACTGAGACACCGTATTCTGACAACGGGACTCCTCCACTGTTAGAATACACTGATCAGCGGCCGTAGCTGCCGATTGATAAATGTTTTCCAACATCCACAGAACGATCCAATGATCTACTTCTGTCAAACAGGATTGAAATTCATCCAGTCGCTGCTGAACCTGGCCAAATTTTCAATCTGTCTATGGCCAAGTTAAGATGGGACAGGAAGTGTGGAAAACTTCTCCCACAATCTCTATTTACCGGAAAGGAAACGAGATACAGGCTGCAATGCAAATAGAGTGGGGAAGGTTTATAACAGGCCTTTTGAAGGCCTGTTTGAAATTCATCCGGTCCCTGCTGAACCTGGCCAAATTTCAATCCATCCATGGCCAAATTAAGATGGAACAGGAAGTGTGGAAAACTTCTCCCACAATCTCTATTTGCCAGAAGTGAAAGGAGACACAGGCTGCAATGCAAATAGAGCGGGAAAGGTTTAAAACGGGTCTTTTGAAGAGTGATGGCCACTTAAATAATTTGGTAACCGGTCACAAGCCACAATGAAATGAAATGGTTCAGAATTTTTAATCCTTTATGTTGAATAGCGTAATAAACATTTTCCTCATGCAGCTGCTGAAGGTTGGCAGGAAGGAGAGGAGGAGAATCTGGCTTTAAGCAGTTGCAGGAGGAAAATGTTCATTATGCTATTCAACAAAGAATTTGAAATTCTGAACCATTTGGAGAGGATCGGTTCCTGTATATACTGCCCCTGTCACCCCTCCTGTCCAAGTGTAAAACAGAATGTGACAGGGAGGCCGCACGGGCCCCCTGGAGCATGGGGTGGGGTCACCATTATGACCCCTGACACTACGCCAGTGGTTTGGGGAGGGGGGTGATGGTAAAAACACATCTCAGCTATGGTGTTTTACCACCTTCCAAACCGCAAATGTAAACTAATGCTTACTGTCCTGATCCCCCTACAAGGCTGCTTTCACATTGATGAGCTGTGGTTTACCTGTACCATGGGTGCAGCGCAGTGCATCTGCATTTTTCCTGTGGGTTAGCTGCACTTTGTCATAGACTTAGACCAGATTATGATCAATTGGTTGCCGACGCTGTGCTTCCCTGGTTTCAGATCAAGGGCCACATCAGATTGCTCCACAGGCCACAGGTTAAGCACACATGATTTAAAACCTCTACAAGCGTTTTGATGGATCCAGTGAGGGGGGTTTATACTATCCTGTCCAGGTGACAGGTGCCATATAGAATGATATTAGAGCAATCTCCTCTATGGGGTACAGGAAGCAAAAGAGAAAGGAAACGCAAATCGCCACACCCTCTTCACCTGGACACACAGTGGGCGGAATTCTCCCATGTCCCCTGCTGACACCTTAAATATGTAATGGATAACAACTCAGAAAAGATGTGACTCAAAGATTTGAGTGTGACGTTTTGCCCCTGACACAGGGATATATAAAGTTTACAGAAATATGATATCCAACACAGGGTGATGACTGTGGGGATATGTACAACGCTCCCAAGTGCCACATTCTATTCAAACTATTGGAGAAGAAAAATGGGCCATTTGGTGAACTATATATAGGATGTCAGCACTCCAGGTTTATTCAGCTCTGAAGAGGGGAGTACAGCTCCCGAAACGCGTCAGCGTCTAAATCCAGAAGGTTCCAGGATGGGACCCCACGAACCCATATTGAAGCTCTTCTTTTTATATGCCTGATTATACATTAGGTCTGTAAGTATCCACTTGTGATGTTTTTAAAATAAAGTATATTTATCATGGTAATGCACGAGGAGTTTGCACCCTCGTGTGTTTTTTTTCAGTTTGAGGTTTCCCCAATCTGAGGAGGGCTGCACCTATACGAGTTTCACATTCTGTGAAATTGTGTCCAGAATCCTGATTTGAGCGCTGATGTGTTTTTGCAATGGTTGACTTTTTTCCTTTTATCTGGGATAATACACCCAGGGTATGGAAAGGTCTGCCTGATCACATGATGACTAGGGACTGGAAGCTACTAGGACAGCTCAGTGCGTGTGCAGAGAGAATGCAGTGAGCCCACTCTCTTTGCTGCCACACTACGCGGGTGACACTCACACTTCTAAACATGCTAAATACTACACTAAATGTAGTCAGTCAATCAGTCATGAGAGAGGGCTGGGTTAATTGTTGTGTCCCATTACGCCTGCACCATATCATCACAGATCTTTTTTCAGCACACGTCTGCAAATGTACACTGTGACGGGAGTGACTTTTGGGGGTGGGGGGACCTCTGTATCATCTTCCCAAATTCTTATGTTTAAGTGACCCTGTGCCTGTTAGGGTACAGGGTGTGTATGTGAATGTCTATTGTGTATTGGTGTGTTGTCCTTTGTTCTCGGCCACATGGCTGTCTTTTGTCCCTTTGCCATGTGCTGCCCTATTGTTCTGTGTCTTGGTTGGATGGGGAGGGGTGATGTGTTTCCTGTAGCCCTCCCCACTGATGGGGTGGGCTGATTATGTGTTTCCTATTCCTGGTTGTGTTTCCCCGCCCTGTGTATATAACTTGTTGTGTGTGTAAAATAAAGTAGTTGACTTCCTGTTTTAAGAAGAGTCGGGTGCTGTCTATTTCCTGAGGGATTTCAAGGGTGTGGTCCGTGGATGGTGTTCGGACAGGGAAGCTGCAGTATAACGGAATATACCCAAGTGTGGTCTGGGGTCCGGTTCCGTTACATACACATTATTCTGAGAAGGCTACCATTAGATGCCCAGTGGGATTCGGTACCTGAGGGGTATGCAGGAAGTGCTGGAGATGTACAACTGTTGAAGTCCATCATCCTTCCATCGATCACATCAACTCCGCCAAGTTCTGTTGGATCCTCGCAGTACCTGCGTCTAAGGCTGTTATCTCTTGGAGGTGAATCAAACACATTGTCCCTGTCACTAAGATCATCAGAGCCACTGGCAGCAGATTCATGTGACAAGGTGCGAGCCAGAGGGACCGCGGGAGCTGTTCCATCCAACAATGGTCGATCATTCTCATTTGTGCTCTGAGAAAGGAAAACAAAAGAAAAGTTTTCAATGTGTAGAGAAGTGACTTCTATATTGCATATGCACACACTTTGGTCCTTTTCACACGGCCGATCCAATCAGGTCCACATGTCAGTTTTTTCAGGCGGACCTGATTGGACGGTCCATTCAGCCCTATGGACCAGCAGGTGTAAACAGACTTGTGTCCATTTACACCCACCTACATCCAATCTGATCCAGGAGCCTTAACCTTGTGTAGTATTTTCAGTGAGATCTTAAAGGGCACCGTGTTTATAGAAAGAGATGGCTTGGATCTACCATGAAACATCTTCAGCATAACGGAACAAGTGCAGTTAAATGTAGCTCTGCTAATAGTTACACCATGACCTGGATAAATTAGACATTTTGTATAAAGCATCAAAAACACTGAAATTCTTTAAATGTTTTTAGTTAAAAAAGCACACCTAGACTTAGCCAACCAACTAATGTACCGTATATACTCGAGTATAAGCCGAGTTTTTCAGCACATTTTTTGTGCTGAAAAACGGCCCCCTCGGCTTATACTCGAGTCAACGTCTGCAGATGTCTAGCAGGGGGCGCTGTTTCTAAAGCCAGTGCTTCTCAAATAGTGGGGCGCGCGAGGCTCCGTCAAGGGGGGCGCGTACAGGGGTGGGCAGAGAGCTGCTGTCTCTTACCTGGCTCCCACGATGATCCATCCAGGAAGCGCTGCTCCTTCCGTCACTCCGGCCACTCCCTCACTCCTGCCGCTCTGCTCCGCCTCCTCACCGGTGATTGGCCGCCAGAACTGTAGCTCAGGAAAGGTACACAGGCGGCCAATCACGGGCGAGGAGGCGGAGCCGAGCGGACCCGCGAAAATCGAGTGAGGGAAAAGCCGGTAAGTGTGCAGTGCAGAGGTGCTGCTGCAACCACATATGCTGGCTGCAGCAGCACCATACTGCAACAGGGGTCAGCAAGTGTCATTGGTGTGAGTGGGAGGAATAGTGCCGCATCATTGGTGTCACTGATACTAATGATGGGGCATTATTCCTCCCACTGACACCAACGATGGGGCACTATTCCTCCCACTGACACCAATGATGGGGCACTATTCCTCCCACTGATACTAATGATAGGGCATTATTCCTCCCACTGACACCAACGATGGGGCACTATTCCTCCCAGTGATACCAACGATGGGGCACTATTCCTCCCAGTGATACCAATGATGGGGAACTATTCCTCCCACTGACACCAATGATGGGGCACTATTCCTCCCACTGACACCAATGATGGGGCACTATTCCTCCCACTGACACCAACGATGGGGCACTATTCCTTCCACTGACACCAATGATGGGGCATTATTCCTCCCACTGACACAAACGATGGGGCACTATTCCTCCCACTGACACCAATGATGGGGCACTATTCCTCCCACTGACACCAATGATGGGGCACTATTCCTCCCACTGACACCAATGATGGGGCACTATTCCTCCCACTGACACCAATGATGGGGCATTATTCCTCCCACTGATACCAATGATGGGGCACTATTCCTCCCACTGACACCAATGATGGGGCACTATTCCTCCCACTGATACCAATGATGTGGGACTACTCCTCCCACTGACACCGATGATGGGGCACTATTCCTCCCACTGACACCAATGATGGTGCACTATTCCTCCCACTGACATCAATGATGGGGCACTATTCCTCCCACTGACACCAATGATGGGGCACTATTCCTCCCACTGACACCAATGATCAGGCACTATTCCTCCCACTGATACCAATGATGGGGCACTATTCCTCCCACTGACACCAATGATGGGGCACTATTCCTCCCACTGATACTAATGATGGGGCACTATTCCTCCCACTTTATTTTTTACATTAACTAGTAGGTGCCTCATTTCCCACCATCGGCTTATACTCGAGTCAATAGTTTTTCCCAGTTTTTTGTGGTAAAATTAGGTACCTCGGCTTATATTCGGGTCGGCTTATACTCGAGTATATACGGTATGTAGATGTTTAGGCTTTACCATACCCCACCATTTAAACAATACCTTCCCATTGCCTATATTTGTCTGTCATACATTTTAGCATAAATCACAATTATTTATTCTTGTACAGTGCCTTGAAAAAGTATTCATACCGCTTGAAATTTTCCACATTTTGTCATGTTACAACCAAAAAAAGTAAATGCATTTTATTGGGATTTTATGTGATAGACCAACACAAAGTGGCACATAATTGTGAAGTGGAAGGAAATTGATAAATGGTTTTCAACATTTTTTTACAAATAAATATCTGAAAAGTGTGGGGTGCATTTGTATTCAGCCCCCTTTACTCGAATACCCCTAACTAAAATCTAGTGGAACCAATTGCATTCAGAAGTCACCTAATTAGTAAATAGAGTCCACCTGTGTGTAATTTAATCTCAGTATAAATACAGCTGTTCTGTGAAGCCTCAGAGGTTTGTTAGAGAACATTAGTGAACAAACAGCATCATGAAGGCCAAGGAACACACCAGACAGGTCAGGGATAAAGTTGTGGAGAAGTTTAAAGCAGGGTTAGGTTATAAATAAATATCCCAAGCTTTGAACATCTCACGGAGCACTGTTCAATACATCATCCAAAAATGGAAAGAGTATGGCACAACTGCAAACCTACCAAGACATGGCCGTCCACCTAAACTGACAGGCCGGGCAAGGAGAGCATTAATCAGAGAAGCAGCCAAGAGGCCCATGGTAACTCTGGAGGAGCTGCAGAGATCCACAGCTCAGGTGGGAGAATCTGTCCACAGGACAACAATTAGTCGTGCACTCCACCAATCTGGCCTTTACGGAAGAGTGGCAAGAAGAAAGCCATTGTTGAAAGAAATCCATAAGAAGTCCAGCTTGCAGTTTGCGAGAAGCCATGTGGGGGACACAGCAAACATGTGGAAGGTGTTCTGGTCAGATGAGACCAAAATTGAACTTTTTGGCCTAAAAGCAAAACAATACGGATGGCGGAAAAATAGCACTGCACATCACCCTGAGCACACCATCCCCACTGTGAAATATGGTGGTGGCAGCATTATGTTGTGGAGATGCTTTTCTTCAGCAGGGACAGGGAAGCTGGTCAGAGTTGATGGGAAGATGGATGGATCCAAATACAGGGCAATCTTAGAGGAAAACCTGTTAGAGTCTGCAAAAGACTTGAGACTGGGGCGGAGGTTCACCTTCCAGCAGGACAACGACCCTAAACACACAGCCAGAGCTACAATGGAATGGTTTAGATAAAAGCATATTCATGTGTTAGAATGGTGCAGTCAAAGTCCAGACCCAAATCCAATTGAGAATCTGTTGCAAGACCTGAAAATTGCTGTTCAAAGACACTCTCCATCCAGTCTGACAGAGCTTGAGCTATTCTTCAAAGAATGGGCAAAAATTTGACTCTCCTAAACAGTGCACGTTTAGGAGATATTTCTGTTACCTACAAACAAGCTTTATTATACGCTCACAGGAAGGTTAAAAAAAAAAAAAAGTTTACTATCGCTTTAATATCTGATAGATGTGTAAAGGTTGAGTCTTTAAAATAAAATCTAAAATCTGCTGTGCATGTTAGGGGATAACAAAACATACTATAACTATTCAGTTCTATGTCCTGAAATAATATTTCATTCTTCTCCAAATGGGCCATTTTATGCAAGGCTCATGCTTCATTTGGCTCTGGCTTTCCCATGGAAGAGAATTAATGGAGTGCTATAAATCACTAAAACCCTATATGAGTGAATGAAAATAACTTTTCCCTTCAAGTTCAGACAGCCCATTCACTATATATAAACATTTTTCTGCATAAAAAGTTCCAAAAGGTGATTCTTTCTCTTGCAAGAGAAGATAGACTGCTGTTCATACCTGTGTAGATGAGATTCTACTGCGATGTTCCAGCGTAGGATCTTCAGACCCAAAGAATCCTTGGTGAGGAACAAGGTACTCATCAGCATCCACCAACTCTTCCATGCCAACCTCCCTTAGTAGTTCACTGTAGAATTGTGTAGTCAAGGGGCTGGCCTGAGCCAACAGTTCTTCATCCTAAAAGAGATAATGTGTCTGGTGACATGGCATAATCTCAAGGTGTTCATATAATGTATATTGGTCATGGATTCTCAACACTGGTAGATAATTTAACCACTTGTCTACCAAGCTAAGTTTCTAAATGGCATGGTTGACAAGCAGTTGAAGCAAGCTCACAGCTGCTGAGCTTGTTGTTGACTTTAACAGCTGGCAAAAGGCTTTAAGATAAAAGTGATCTGGATGGTTCTAAAGCCACCTCATCACTTTTAAGGGACCTCTGAAAGGGTGCGGTGCCAGTGTTTGTTCCCAGACTCCCATTTCTCTGGGGAGCCCGGACTGCAGGAAACTGCTGATAAAAAGGAACCAGGAGGTGATCATGGAGCATCCATTCTCTGGTCTCCCCTGTGACTGACGACGGTAAAAGTAACGGCTATTACATCACTTTCGGGATCATATCGATCATTCCTTAGCTAGTGTAGCAGTGGATGCAGCCAATCAGGGGGGAAGGGCAGGGGAGACATTAGGACATTTTCCCTGCTCAATGCTATCTCAAAGGGGGCGTGTTATCCCCGTGTAATAGCAATAAAGTTTACAAAAGGTGTAAAAGAAAAAATGGTATTAAAAAAAAAAAAAGGGGTAATAAAAAAATTTTATGCACCCCCATCACCTCCAGAAACACCCCATGTCAACACACAGTATAGGGCGAGCATGTGCATGTAAACATCAACTGTGGAACACGTGTGAGGTACTGTTTCAAACATTGTAGTGAAAGCGATAATTCTAGGGCCATAATTCACTGGTAAACACCCCCCCCCCCCCCCGGTCACATCAAGCCCAATTTTGAAGTCGCACAATTTCAAAGTCGGGTGACTTGCCGATTTCAGGTGCGATTTGCAAGACATCTGACACAAATGTCTATGCAAATCGCACCACAAGTAGTGCATGCACTACTTTAGAAATCGGTGCGGCTCCAACCAGGTCGGAACCGCACCGACATGAACACTCTAATAGCGGATAATAGGGGGCGCATGACATGCAAATCACATGCCAAGTCGCACCCGATGTGACCGGGGTGTTAAAGCCAAGCTGACAACCTCTAAAGGATTTTAAAGCGTCAGCTATGGAGAATTTTGGATTCCACAGGTTGTTGCAACTTCATGGGCATGCACAATTTTAAGGCTTGATATCTTTTTACTCTATGAAATCCCATCTTTTATATTTTACCAAAAAAATGGGTATAATATATTGTTTGTACTAAAATTCATATTCGTGTATTTGTTTCCAAAAATATGTGTTCTGGGGGTTTTAAGTAGTTTTATAGGTAAAAAAAAATGTGCATTTGTTTTTTTGTAAAAGTGAACTTATCCTTTAATAGATGTGCTCCTTTTAACAGCTACCAGCAGACACATTGGCCATCTGCTGGCTATCAAACCAGCTGTCACAGTCAGCCCCCACTAATGATCAGGTACCGATTAGAATGGTTCCAAGACATGATTATTATGTGAGCTATGATAATGATCAAACGCAAGCTGAAGGCTGCACTCAAAAAACACAACAAACTTTTAGCTGTAGATGCTGTAATTGTCTTCTACAGTTATAGCTTTAACAATAATAACAATAATTTATTGAAACAATTAATACCAGCATTCCTTGTATGGTCATCAAATATATTGTATGCCAATTTTATATAAAGCATACACTTTCAACTGTTTGCGGCTTTGTTTTTACCTGAATGACCACGAAGCGCTGCGGATCACGAGCCATGCGGGAAAACTCGGTGACCAGCTCACGGAACTTGGGTCGGCACTCAGAGTCTATCATCCAGCCTGGGAAGAACAGTATTTATTTATTACAGGTACTTACTGTATATAGCGCCATCCATTTACGCAGCGCATTACATATATATATGTATATTGTACATTCACATCAGTCCCTAACCCTCAAGAAGCGTACAATTTAAGGCCCCTAACTCACATTCATACATACACATACTAGGGCCAATTTTAACCTACCAGCATGTCTTTGGAGTGTGGGAGGAAACCGGAATACCTGGGGGAAACCCACGCAGGCACAGGGAGAACATGCAAACTCCAGGCCGGTAGTGCCGTGGTTGGTATTGGTTGGGTTTCTCAAGGAGCGTACAATATAAGGTCCCTAACTCACATTCATACATACATATACTAGAGCCAATTTTCGACAAGAGTCAATTAACCTACCAGCATGTCTTTGGAGTGTGGGAGGAAACCGGATTACCTGGGGGAAACCCACGCAGGCACAGGGAGAACATGCAAACTCCAGGCAGGTGGTGCTGTAGTTGGGATTTGAACAAATGACCCTAGTACTGCCAGGCTGAAGTGCTATCCATTTAGCCACTCTGCTGCCCCTGTTTTGCAGTACAATGTATATGAATGGCACTACAATACATTAAATAGAGGTGTGTTGAGGGACAAATGGACAGGACAAGCATGCATAGAAAACACAAAAACAGATGTGTAAAAGCGCCAAGACGACCTGGTCAGAGTTTGCACTAAGGACTCTCCCCAGTCTCAAATGACAGTGCTTGAGGCCCGGCAACTGGCAGATGAGACTCCCAGGTCTGCATCATAGGAGGAAGGGGGCAACTCATATGCTCCCCCATACCTGGAAGTCACTATTCTATAGTGGGTCAATGGAGCAGTGGGAGAGCTGAACTGAGGATGACTACAAGCAGCCAATGTAAAGAGCCTGCAATTGAGTAAACTGGTTATTTTCCCTGCATGGACAAAGTTCATTTTCGCTTGTGCTGATCACAGCAATACCAAAAAGGATGTTGGTCTACATGTGACCCTAGGATGAAAATGGGAAACTAAAGACATGCTGCAATTAAGACAAAGGTTTGTAAAAGGTCACTACTTACATTTCACCATGATCATATACACGTCAATGGTACAAACAGGAGGCTGCGGGAGTCTTTCTCCCTTCTCCAGGAGGTCTGGAATCTCCCGCGCTGGAATACCATCATAGGGTTTTGCACCAAAGGTCATGAGTTCCCACACAGTTACCCCTAAAATCAGAGCAACAAGAGTTATTGTGAACACTGGCAAGCTTATGTATTATACAGTGCTTCCAGAACGTATGCACAGCGCTGAACTTTTGCCACATTTTGGATTAAATTCATGTTTTTCCTCAACATTCTATAAACAATACCCCATAATGACAACATGAAAGAAGTTTGTATTGAAATCTTTGCAATTTATTAAAAATAAACAAAAAAAACACATGTACATACAGTGGGGATCGAAAGTTTGGGCACCCCAGCTACAAATTTGTATTAATGTGCATAAAGAAGCCAAGGAAAGATGGAAAAATCTCCAAAAGGCATCAAATTACACATTAGACATTCTTATAATATGTCAACAAAAGTTAGATTTTATTTCCATCATTTACACTTTCAAAATAACAGAAAACAAAAAAATGGCGTCTGCAAAAGTTTGGGCACCCTGCAGAGTTAATATCTTCTGCCCCCTTTGGCAAGTATCACAGCTTGTAAACGCTTTTTGTAGCCAGCCAAGAGTCTTTCAATTCTTGTTTGAGGTATCTTTGCTCATTCTTCCTTACAAAAGTCTTCCAGTTCTTTGAGATTTCTGGGCTGTCTGTCACGTACTGCTCTTTTAAGGTCTATCCATAGATTTTCAATTATGTTGAGGTCAGGAGATTGTGAAGGCCATGGCAAAACCTTCAGTTTACGCCTCTTGATATAATCCCCCGTGGATTTTGAGGTGTGTTTAGGATCATTATCCATTTGTAGAAGCCATCCTCTCTTTAACTTCAGCTTTTTCACAGATGGCATCAAGTTACCATCCAGAATTTGCTGAAATTTTATTGAATCCATTTTTCCTTCTACTCGTGAGATGTTCCCTGTGCCACTGGCTGCAACACAACCCCAAAGCATGATTGATCCAACCCCATGCTTAACAGTTGGACAGAGGTTCTTTTCATTCAATTCTGTGCCCCTTCTTCTCTAAACGTACCTTTGCTCATTCCAGCCAAAAAGTTCAATTTTAACCTCATCGGTCCACAGAACTTGTTTCCAAAATGCATCAGGCTTGTCTATATGTTCATTTGCAAAGTTCAAACGATGATTTTTGTGGTGAGGACGTAGAAGAGGTTTTCTTCTGATGACTCTTCCATGAAGACCATATATTTGTACAAGTATCTCTTTATAGTGGAATAGTGTACCACAACTCCAGTGTCTGCCAGATCTTTCTGGAGGGATCGTGCAGTCAAACGTGGGTTTTGAATTGTTTTTCTCACAATCCTGCGAGCTGTTCTGTCTGATATTTTTCTTGGTATTCCAGATCTTGCTTTAACTTCCACTGTTCCTGATGACTGCCATTTCTTAATTACATTCCGAACAGAGGATATTGACATCTGAAAACGCTTTGCTTTCTTCTTATAGCCTTCTCCAGCTTTGGGAACGTCAACTATTTTCAGTTTCAGTTTTCTAGACAACTGCTTAGAAGAACCCATGGTGCTGATTGTTGGGGCAAGGTCAGATGAGTCTGGGCATTTAAAACCTTTGAGATTGACATCACCTGGTCTTCCCAGATGATGATTGAGAACAATCCATGACACTAGCAGGTCTCAGCTTGGCAAAGGGGGCAGTGCATGCTATAAATTCTGCAGGGTGCCCAAACTTTTGCAGACACCATTTTTTTGTTTTCTGTTATTTTGAAAGTGTAAATGATGGAAATAAAATCTAACTTAGGTTGACATATTATAAGAATGTCTAATCTGTAATTTGATGCCTTTTGGAGATTTTTCCATCTTTCCTTGGCTTCTTTATGCACATTAATACAAATTTTTAGCTGGGGTGCCCAAACTTTCAATCCCCACTGTAAGTATTCACAGCCTTTGCCCAATACTTTATTGAAGCACCTTTAGCACCAATTACATCCTCATGTCATTTTGAGGATGATG